AAAAAAAAAAAAAAAAAAAAAAAAGAAATACTGGATTTGAAGCCTCCAAGTTACTATTGAGGAGGAAGAAAATTAAATGACTTTTCAAAAATAATTAAGCTACAAGTCTTGATTATTTTTATTTACCTTTTCACAAAATGGTCCATGTAGTTTAGCCAGGCATATGGTGCATGCCTGTAATCCCAGAACTCTAGGAGGCTGAAACAAGCAGGATCTAAAGTTTCCACCCATCTGGGCAACTTAGCAAGACTCTGCCTCAAAATAAAAAAGGGCTGAGGATGTAGCTCAGTGTGAAAACCTTGGGTTCAATCCCCAGTACCACCAACAAAACAAAACAAAACTCCATGCTATCTTTTAAAAGACTTAAAAATCATTTTTGCACTTAGATAAGCATCTTTAAATATAAGACTACAAGCAGTATGATGGGTTTTCCTGTCACTTGTAAACTGGATTAGAAGGCAATTCCCAGAGTTCCAGAAAGGATGTGGAGATATTATCATTTTAGTTTATAGTCAGGATAACTTCATTCAATGAGGAGTCAAAGAATCTGGGTCCTAGTTATCTTGTACAGTGTGATCCTGACTAGGTCTCCAGGCTTCTGGATATCAGAAGCTCCACCACAGCGTGCAAAGGATTCAGTCAGGTTTCAGCTATTACGTTGTAACATGAAACCAGAGTAACAAGTTTCAGGCTGTTTGGGGTTAAGGATTTTAGAACCTATATTCAATGTATGGTACTTTTAAAATGGCTATGTTTTTGAGTTTGATCATATATGTATATAAAGATATCTTCTGTTCTTTTGTATATTTAAATGTATTTTCCTATTTAGCATCATTAGGAATAAAAAAATCCCCCAAGGATGTACATTTCATTTCTTGCTTTTATTTTTTTTCGGCTTCCTTTTTTAACTTTTCCAAGATCTCTTCTGGAGTTGTAGAGGCCAAAAGCTTCACCACCTTTTCACGAGATTTACCACCCTGAACCAAAAAGACAAAAATGCACTCAATATTTTGATGCTGTCAGGGACAGCAGACCTCAGCTGTTCCGCTGCAACTATGTCTTGATGGGGATGACACAGATAGGCCCCCAATTTTTACAATTTGCCAGGTTTTTGTTTTGTTTTGCTTTTTAAAGGTATGGTCTCACTATGTAGTGCATGCTCGCCTTGAACTTGCTTATGTACCCAACCCTCAAACTCAGGCAATCCTCCTGCCTCAGCCTCGCAAGTGCTGGGATACAGGCATATACAACCATACCTGGCTAGAGTATTTACTATTACACCTATATAATAAAAGTTCTCTATAATAATAAAAGTTCTTGGCATTAAAATTTAATTTTGGGCCAGGGATATAGCTCAGTGGCACAGCACCTGCCTGCCAAGTGCAAGGTCCTGAGTTTGATTCCCAGTACCAGAAAAAAAAAAATTCATAAGTTTTAAGTACTTTTTTTTGTGTGTGTGTGTCTTTTTTGAGACAGGCTCTCTGTGCAGTTCAGGCTGGCCTTGAGCTCACTTTGTAGCCCAGGCTGGTCTTGAACTTGCATCAGTCCTCCTCCCTCAGCCTCCCGAGTGCTGGGATTACAGGCGTGAGCCACCATGCCTGGCTTAAGGACTTTTTTTGTTTAAAAAATAAAATCATTTTAAACTACCAAAATAAATATTGAATTTTTATATAAACTTTGTATAAAACAATTCTAAATTAAACAAATTGCTATTCTCTATATTATTAAAACATTTCTGAAAATTCCAAAAACCACATACCCAAGTGCTATGATTTCATACTTTTAAAAAGTTCTAAAAAGATTTGTTTTTCAAACATTTTTCAAAGATAAAACGAGCAGTAATTTATGTCAGTGAGCAGAATCTACACGGTAGAAGAGTGGTAACACCTTTCATGAGTGTGCAGCCACATGGGCAGGAAATCACAAAGGACCTGCTGTAGGTTGGGGAGATGAGGGAAGCAGCCCAGTGAGATGGATTTTCAGATGCAGTTTATTAAAGACTGAATGGCGCCAGGACACGACCTATACAGTATAGTACTGGAAAACAAGTAGCTTTAAAGACATAACACTGCTGGGACCCACTCCCACAGGTTCTGTTTCAGTTGTTAGGGTTATGTCCAGGAACCTGTACTTAGAACTGATTCTCAAGTAATTCTGGTAAAAAACAATGGTAGGTGTTAACTCACTTCCTATGGAGCTACTATCTTCCTACTACGCTTCTCCTCAACAGAAAGTCAATGTTAGGGATCAGAAACACCTGATGGACTCACTAGTGGAAATGACAACCAAGTGGAACCAATTTCTTTTTGTTTTTCAGCATGGTCTTTTTTTTATTAGTGTATCTTTGCAATACATAATAATTACACTCATCCTGGGAACTGATATATAATCCTCCGACCTCCCCTCATCCCTGGTGTGGCAATGCCTTGAAGGAAAAGGTCACTAAGATTGATCTGAAAGCAAGTTGAGGAATAGGTTTAAAAGGAGAAACACGAGTAATGTGGCAATTTTTTTTTTTTTTGGTTTTTTTTTTCCGGTACCGGGAATCGAACTCACGATGTTGCGCTTGCCAGGCAGGAGCTATGCCACTGAGCTAAATCCCCAGCCCTAATGTGGCAATTAAGGACTATGAATAAGGAGAATGTATAAACTGAAAAAGACTGAAGCAACAAAAATGAAGGAGGCCAAATAGGAAGAATTCACAGCTTTTTGTGATTAAATGAATATGTGAGTTAAACTGGCTTTCTAAATTATTTGAAAAAAACAAGTCAATATTTTATGAATCCTGGTCGACATGTAATAATCAAAGATGTGTAAAGAAAGAGACCTACCTTCTCTAACACCACATCGCTCTTCCTGAGTTCTAAGACCTTGGAAAGATACCGACAGAGCTCAGCATTGGCCTCTCCCTCTGACGGAGGGGCTGCAATTGCTACATTTATAGCTTCAGTGGTCAGATCTGGAACAAAATGGTGTGAACTTTACCCCTGAGGAGATTTTTTTGTGAAATGAGGAAATTTTGTAACAGAGTGTGCATATGGCCAGCACATAGACTTTCAATTAACAACTGTCAAATGTGGTATAGTTCCCAGTACCAAAACCAAGCCCAACCAAACTAAAACAAAAAACTTAAAGAATGATTAATCACACTTTGGGAACACAAACATGATGAATATGCCTCTACCATTACATGAAATAAATCAAGGAAAAGAAAAAAAAAAACAAGACTTACCCTACCCCACTCTGCTGATCAAAAGGGGCCTAGCATCCTGACAAGTTTCTTGGATTTGGGTGGCTAGAAACTGCACTTGCTCTATAGGAAGAGCTCAGGCCTGCAGTAGCAGGAGCCAGGCTTCAGCCCCACAATGTGTCCAAGGAGTTGCACTGATGAGGCAGATTAGAGGAATGTACAGGGCTATTCGGGGCTTCCAATTAGGAAAAAGAGAGCACCAGGCTAAGCTTATCTCTTACACGACCAAATTTTTTGGGTTGTCTTTTTCAGACACGGTCTCATGTAGTTCAGGCTGGCCTTGAGCTCACTTTGTATCCCAGGCTGCCCTCAAACTCGAAACAATCCATCCTCCTGCCTCAGCCTCCTGAGTATTGGGATTATAGGCATGTACCATCACACCCAGCTGTGACACAATTTTCTGAGATAGGGTCTCCCCCTGCAGTTCAGGCTGGCTTTGCACTCACTATAGCACCCAGGCTGGTCTTGAACTTGAGGCAAGTTAAGCCTCAGCCTCTAGAGTACCAGGATTACAGGTGTGCGCCACCATGCCCTGCATGACACATATCTTGAATGCTCTTTTTTTCAGGACAATTCAGATCAGTGGTTTTCAAATGATTTTTAGTTCAAACAGGAATTAACGAGGCGTCTCAGATCACAGTTTCTTCCCCTTCCTTAGGCCAGTAATCACTGAACTAGACCAAAACATTTCTTTTTCCTCTGGCCAGTGCCTCCAGGTTTGGAAGAGGATAACCTAACAATAATCTAGGCCAGGGTCCCCAAACCCCAGGATATGGGTGGGGGGCATGTTAGGAACATGATCACAATATGAGGTGAATGGTGGATGGGTAAACAAAGCTTCATCTGTGGTGACAGCTGCCTGCACTACCTCCTGAGCGGCACTGCTGTCAGATCAGTGGTGGCATTATATTCTCAGAGAAGCACAAGCCCTACTATGAACTGCACACCAGAGGAATCTAGGTTCCATGCTCCTTATAACAATCTAATGTAATAGTAAGTTATAGCATTATAAATTATAACAGAAAAAAAGTGCAAAATAAAAAGTAATGTGATTCGATCCCTCTACCTTTCCCCACCCCAGGAAAAATTGTCTTTCACAAAACAGGTCCTTAGTGCCAAAAAGGTTGGGGACCACTGATCTAAGGTATACACATGTCCTCTCTGAAATACCAACTTTTTAGAAAGTAAACATGCAATGGTTTCATCTAGCTTGATACAAGATTTATCATGTATTCACTTTCAACCACCTTTAACATGAGAACCTAGAATTTTAAAAGGGAGAACCCTCTAACTGCAGATGTGAAAAACATACCCCACTGTCACAGGACAAGTGGTCCGATACGTGAGGTGACCAGAAGGTGGAAGGCACAAGTTGAGAGTCCCACCAGTACCATCTGTGTTCACACATACCTGTCACAGCGCTTTGTTTGGAGCCAGGCTTGGCGTGGATGGCTATGGTGACACAACCTTTGGCATCAACTGCCACAGGACCTAATGGAAGAGGTGGTCTCTCTGGTTCCTTGCTCTGGTTTTTACTCTAAAATGAAAACCACACCACTTTACACGGGTTACAAAATGTTTCTCTTATTTAATGTGATCTTCCCACTCCTTCCCTTCATCTTGAACCAAGACAAACTAGGCGTATCAGTTATGCCCAGAACTCTGGACACCTATGATGCTTCCATACCACTCACAATTCAATTACTCCACGAGGCTCTCCCATCAGCCCCACAAAATGCTTTTTCCTGCCTTCAGTGGAAGACTTGACTGACCGCCATACTTTACTCATCATTTTGTACTTACCACTCCTCAGAAGCAAGGACCCTTTATTAGTCATCTCTACCCGAACTGTGCTACAACCCAAGCCCAGCCTCCTCCTTTTAATTTTTAAATTCTGAGAAAATCTTACTAGCTCGTCCCTGCTGGGCTCGAACCCGGATCCTGTCGCCAGTCTCCCAGTGTTGGGAGTACAGGCGTGTGTCACCTCCCCCTCCCGACTTCTTGTTTATCTTTGTATGTGATGCAGCGCACGGCAGAAGCGAGGTAATGGGACGAGGCGGAAGGGACGACAGTGACTGATATTGAGAGCCGGGCTAGGAACTTATTTATTCATTCAAGTAACCAGGCGCAGGGCAGTGGCCGGCGTGCGGATCCCGGATTAGTAGGACCCATGGACTGTAGCGAGGGAGAGGGAGGACGAACCCCACACAGCAACGCGGCGCGGAGCCCCGACGAGCCTCGGTGAGCCCCGGAAGAAACGGGGGGCTCGGGCGGGAGGAGCAGGGCCCGGATGGGCGCGCGAGTCGGCCTCGCAGCGACAGGGACTGCCCTGGCCCCGAGGGAAGGAAGCGCGCGGCCCGGCGAGAGGCGCTGGGGACCAAACCCCGCGACGCGCCACCTGCGAACCCCGCGTCTCCTCCGTGCCCCGGGACTGGTCCTGCGGCCCACCTTCTCGGCGCCACGGGACTCGCCTCTGGCTTTGCTCGCCGCGCCAGCTTTCTTAGGCATTTCTGCGCCAGTAGGGAGCAGCGCCGAACACCAAGCACTCGGTCTCGCCCCAAAATGCCTCAGCACACCCGTGAGGCGCAGCATCTCCGCCCAAACGGCGCCGGAAGCCGCTTTTGCGCCTGCGCACGCCGAGGTGGGGCGGTGCTCCGACCGCCCCGCGCATGCGTACCTACCCGAGAGCGTTCTCTCGCACTTGGCAGGTGCCAGCTGTTCCGCTACCTGTGGAGCAGGTGTCTGAAAGGGGAAGAGAGGCAGAGGGCGCACAGGGTCAGTGTTCCCTCACCCCTGAACAGCCCAGCAAGGCCGACAGAGCCCACAGGTACCCAGTTGCGGCCTGGCCTGAGCACCTCCATTCACCAACAGGACATCTGCTTTGCGCCCAGCCAGGGGTCCCACAATGCGGAAGAGGCAATATACTGTGACATGTGACATGGCAGCTTGTAAAACGGGGGAAGTGAACAGAGGTGAGATCATAAAGTCAGAGAAGGACCTGAAGTTAGGCATCCGCACAGATCACAGTGCTATTTTAGAAAGTACCAGCTGCATTGTAGTCAACAGCGAAGCCCGAAGTAGGGAGATCTGCCACCTAAGGGGGAGGTGCAGGCCTGAGCCAGAGCAGCTACAGCAGGGACTACAGCTCAGAGAGGTAAGCACTGTAAGGATCTTCATGGGAAGGAGAGCGAAGAGTGAAGGCAGACTCCCAGGTTTGGGGCTGGAGAAGTGTGGGAGTCTGAAGTGAATTCAGTTTTAGACTTAGACGATTAGGACACTGGAGTAGGTCTATTGAGATAACTGAATGTATATAACCTAAGCTTGAGAGATCTGGGCTGATTGAGAGATTTGATTCTGGAGTCCTCAAGGAGATGGAAATCAAAGTCGTAGATGAGCCAGGAGCTCAGAGTGTTTGGAGCACATGGGGCCAAGAAGGCACCCTAAGGGCAGGAACAGGAGTCACCAAAGGATACTGGCCAGAGGAAGACACAGTGTGACAGCAGCTAAGGGAGGGTCCTTCAAAAGCGAGTCCTCCGGAGTGATGAGTGTCACAGAGAGGGCAAGGAAAATAAGGACTGCACGTCCACAGGATTTAGACAGTGAGTTTCAGTGGACAAAAGGAAACAGAAGAGTAAAGAATAATTCAGTGACTTAACCGTGAAGGAGTAACTGATGTTTGGAGGGACAGAGGAAGCTCAGAACTCAAACTGGATAAGTGTTAACAGTTTTTGAAAGTTGATAGGAATGAGCCAGGAGAGGAGGTTACACCCAAGATTCCTGAGTTGGTGGAAGAAGCTGGAATTTCTATCACTAGCTAAGAATGGGGAGGTGTTGATGGTGTGAGAAGGGACTGTTATCAGGAATACACCTCAGTGTGGACAGTTGCCACCACCTAAGGTATACAGACAGGGCTATAGAGCAGCAGAAGCACCTCACAAATCCACAGGCTGGAACTGGACACGCAGTGACACTAAAACTGGAAACAGCTCGTATTACAGCCATAGGGCAGATACCCTTGACCAACTTTGCCCAGCAGGAAAGGCAAGACAGGATTCAGGATTCATACACAAAAACATATGAGTGTGGAAACAAAATGGGTCTTAGTAGTGACTCACTATTCCTCTCTCATATCTGGTGGATTACAATACTGCACACCCTGGAAACTCATTCAGAAACATGGAAAACTTTTTGAACTAATTTCTCTTCATTATTATTGCTTTTTTATTTTTATGTAGTTCTATTAATTTTCTTTTACTCATTAGGATCCTTTTTCGCACATTTCTCTCTGTATGTTCCTTTTATTTTTCAAATGTTACTTCATTTTCCCTTTCCCCACCTCTCCATCCTTACTAATATTAAGCTTTATTAATCTTCAGACATTTAGTTGATGCCATACTATTGTTGAATTCATTTCTGTTGATAATGGTGGTATAGTTGTTGCATTTAATAGATATCATATGTCAACATTTGGTTTGTCTTTGTGTCTATAAATACAGATGTCTTTTCTATGGTTAATGGTGGTACTGTGCTAGATCCATTAGACCAAAGATACAGTGTTCTACCCAACACAGAATACACATTCATCTCAGCAACACATGAAACTTTCTGCAAAACAGATGACATACTAGTCTGTAAAGAATGCTTAACTAAATGCAAAAGAATCAAAATTATCCCATACATATTATCAGATTGTAGTGCAATGAAACTAGAATCAATGGCAAAAACCCCCCAGAAATTATGCAAACATATGAAAATTAAATATATTATTGAAGAATCAATGGGTCAAGGAAATCAAGGAAGAAATTAATTCCTCGATGCAAATAACAATGCCACTACAACACATCAGAACCTGTGGAATACAATGAAAGCAGTCCTAATAGAGAAATTTATAGTGATGAGTGCCCACATCACAAAAACAAAATAGGCCCAAATAAATAACCTAATGATCCACATCAAGGTCACAGAAAAAAACAATCCAAATCCAAAGCTAATAGAAGGAAGGAAATTATAAAGATCACAACAGAAATTAATGAAATTGAGACTAAAATAATGTAACAAATTGAGCTGGTTTTTTGAGAGAATAAATAAAATAGACAAACCCTTAGCCAATCTTACCCCCCAAAATGCAAAGAAAAGAAGCATGTCAATTCAATTAGAAGTGAAAAAAGGCACAACAGACACTGATCACAACAGACACTGATCAAATCCAGATTATTAGCAACTACTTTGAAAACCTATACTCCAATGAATTGGAGATCCAGAAGAAACAGTGATTCCTATACACAAACTAAGTCAATGATATAAGGACCCTAAATAATCCAATAGTAGGCAATAAAATTGAGGCAGTAATTAAAAAAAAAAAAACTAACAAAAGCCCAGGACCAAATGAATTCACCGCTGACTTCTACAAGGACTTCAAGGAATATCTAACACAAATACTTATCAAACTAATGAAAGTGAGAGGGAAGGACCACTGTCAAACTCATTCCTGGAAGCTAGTACTACCTTGATTCCAAAACCTACCAATCTTCTAATGAACATAGATGCAAAACTCCTAGTAAGATACTGGCAAACTGAATGAAAAAAAAAAAAAAAAAAAAAACACATTGAAAAGATCTCACATCATGACCAAGGAGACTTCAGTTCAGGGATTCAAGGAAGGCTCAACATATAAAAACCAATATATGTAAAACACCACATAACAGAACCAAAGACAAAAATCACATCAACAGATACAAAAAAAACTTTTGAGAAACCCAACATCCATTCATGATAAAAACCTTGAAAACAGCTATAGAAGGGCCTTACCTCAAGCAGATATAAAGAACATGACAAACCAATGACTGATATCACATTAAATGGAGAAAAGCTGCAAGTTTTCCCTCTAAAATCAGGAAGGAGACAAGGATATCTGCTACCACCAACCCTGTTCCATATAGAACAGATCTTCCTTGTTTAATAACCTGTTTTAATAACTGTGCAGACCTATGGCCAAGGCACACTACTCAGACTTACAAACTGCCACTTGGACTTAACATTAGTCTTTTTTGGGGGGTAGGGTACAATTCTGTACATCTTTGTTTATACAGCCTCAATGTCTTTTTGTACAGTCCACTTTTTAATTCAGTGGTTTATTTTTTGATTGTGCTGTATAGTACTATACCTTTATGGTCTGCTACACATTATAGTACTGCATATTGCACGTAAGAGTTATATAAATGAAAGCAAAGTCATCAGGTTGAAGTTTCCTTTGACCATATCTTTGTTCTGAATATTGTAATCTACACACTATATACACTTGCTCATGTAGCAACCAGTTCATTTAATGACCCTGTCACAGGAATGTAATTTGGTTGTTAAACAAGGAATGGCTGTACTCAAAGCATTAGAGGAATCAGGCAAAACAAAACAAAACAAAAGGATAAATATATGGAATTGTTATTTACAGATGACATGATCCTTTACATCGAAGACCAAAATATTCTACCAAAAGACTTCCAGAATAACCAAATTTAGCAATGTAGCAGGATATAAAATTCAACACATAAGAAGTAATAGCATTCCTTTACACCAATAGCATTCTTTCACCAAGAAAGAAATTAGGAAAACACTACTATTCAAATTGCATCAAGAAAAATTAAACACTCGGGAATTAACTTAACCAAGAAGGTGAAAGACTTCTACAATGAAAACTATAGTATTCTGAAGGAGGTAGAAAAGGACACTGGAAAATGGAAGGGTATCTCTGTTCCTGGATAGACAGAACTGACATTGTCAAAATGGTCATACTTCCAAAACTGATACTAAGTTAAAATGTAATACCAATCAAAGTGCCAACAGAACTCCTCACAGAACTAGAGAAAACAATCCTAAAATTCATGTGGGACCATTGTGGCACAAGCCACGCAGAGCCCCAGACAGCTTCAGGAGCCATGGTGAGCAACCCCTGACACCCCACCAGCATGGGAGTGACACTGCACCCTGGGGAACTTCAGGAGCCTTGGTGAGGTGCCTCCAGCCCTCCCAACATCATGACAGCAATGATGAGCCCCAGACAGCTTTGGGGGGGCTCAGTGAGCTGCATACCCCCCCATCTTCACAGGAGCAATGCTAAGCCTGACAACTTTGGGAGCCACGGTCAGCTACCCCTGCCACCCTACCATCATGGGAATGATGCTGTGTCCCAGGGAACTTTGGGAGTCTTGGTGAGATGCTCCCACCCCTAACGCCATCGTCTCAGGAGAAATACTGAGCCCTGGTAAACTTCAGGAGCTTCGAAAATGTCAAAACAAAGGAGTAAAATTCAATTTCAAACATCCAGTCCACCCAGAACAAGTCCAAGAGACACTGACGTAGGAGAACTTGGAAGTCACACGCCTTAAATTTCTGAAATGACAGCAACTGAAGTAAACAAACAACTCCATCAGCCTATAAAATAAATCAGATCAGAAGTAATCCGTCATGTTAAAAAAGAAATGATGCTGGGTGTGGTGGCACATGCCTGCAATCCCAGCACATGGGAGGCTGAGGCATTAGGTCAGTTGAGAGTTGGAGACTAGGCTGGGCTACAAAATGAGCTCAAGGCCAGCCTGAACTCCAAAGTGAGACCCTGT